CCCTGTGTTCGTTCCCAAGGCTGAGTCGTGAAAGGCTCCGGAGGCAGAATGCAGTCGGGCGGCGTCAGCCCTCCCGCCCGAGTGTGCGGGGACGCAGCGACAGCAGGCGGCGGAGGAGACTGCGAACGCACGGACTAACGCGTCGCCGCGCATTTCCAGGGAAGGCAGGCGCTGGTCGGGAAGGAGCGGCTAATTGCCTCGCTTCTGTGCTCGCTCCGGCGGGGAAGCTGCCTGCTCTGAACGCTTTAGATATTGCAAAACTTTAAGACCTCATTCTGTGTTCTTTATTCCCATCCCCGTTACATCCTTGAACATTTATATCTGTATCACGTCATCCTTACCTAACATTCACAGAGAGAGAGAGAGAGAGAGAGAGAGAGAGAGAAAGAGGGAGAGAGAGAGACATATTCATGCAACTCTTAAATTTTCCACATCTGCACAATCTGGATGTCTGAACTGTTACGATTGTTGCAATGGTTTAATCAATGTGCTGTGTGCCTGGGGTTATTGAGGTGCCTGTGCAGGGGGATCATTTAATAAATAGTAACTGGCCGGACATTCAGGGGCGCACACCTGTAATCCCAGCACTGAGGAGGCTGAGGCAGGAGGATCGCTGTGAGTTCGAGACCAGCCTGAGCTACATAGTGAGTTCTAGGTCAGTCTCAACTATGCAGTGAGACCCTGTCTCAAAAAACAAAAAAGGTAACTGTCAATACGAAAGAGGAGAGAGGAAAGGAGGAAGAAGAAGAGGAAGGGGAGGAAGAGGAAGTGGAGAAGGAGGAGGAGGAGGAGGCTGCTTTGTTCTCAGAGCCCCAGTGGAGGTTAGGGCTGTGGGCCAGCCTGCCCAAGTGTATGTATTCTTTTGACTTAGAGCAATGTCCATTAAAGTGGGGCCCCTTGGACCCCTTGGCCTGTAACTACCCCTTCAATAAGGGTCGGGGGATTGGGGCAATTGTCCTCACCTCAGGTTCAAACTCCCTTCAGCTGGAGAATTGGACCTGGGCAGGGGAGGCCAGGCCGGGTGGTGGCGGCGGGTATTCACCGGGCATCCGGGAGAACCCCCTCCCTGGTGGGGTGAAGGGCGGCCTGCCCTAGACAAGGACCACACAGAAGCGGGGCAGAGGGCTGGCGTTACACGGGCATCTGAGAAATGCTTGAGAAAAACCAGGTCTCGCCCATTTTCTGGGGCAGCCTGGAGACCTCGCAGCTCCCCACACCCCAGAAACTCTTGGCCTGGCGGGGACTCATTGCACATTCAGCAAGCACTTACTGGGCGCCTTACTGTGTGACGGCGGCGCTCTGGGTGCCAGTGGGAGCCACGCCCACTAGTGGGCAGTGCTGGTGCGGGCAGCCGGCGAGGAGAGGCCTGGCTCCAGAGCAAGTCCAGGGCCAGGAGGAGCGGACAGCCCTGCTGGGGGTGACAACTTCCGGCCAATAGCAGCGTTTTCTTTTCAGGGCCAAAGTCCCCAAGCAGGGATGGAGCCGCGGGCCTGGTGCCCCCTCCCCATTGTCTGTGGGAAAGAGGCCACCTCCACAGTGGGGTCTGGGCATGGTGGGGGGACCTAGCCGAGCAAGCAGGGGGGAAAGATGACTGGAGGCTCTTGACCCTCAGTCGGTAGTTCCCGAGAACACCAATTAATTTCCTTTAATTAGTAAAGCGAGGAGAAAATGGGCATACGTTTCTTCTGCTCTGATTAAAAGCATTTAGGTCAGGTTTTCAGGGCCAGAGTTTTCAGTTTAAAGTGTCCCAAGCAGAAAATTATTTTTTTTTCTTTTTATTTTCAGGCAGGGGTTTGAACATTAGCCAAGGAATGGCTTCCGGTCACAGATCAGAACTGCCGGGCAGGCAGGGAGTCATTGTGGCAGCGGGGAATCGGCTGGAGTCCCCCCAGCCCCTCTGCCTGAAGTCTGTGACAGTGGAGGGACAGTCAGGAGGGCTGAGGCTGCTCCTGTGCGGAGGGAGAGGCGCCATAAACCAGGTAACATCCAGTTGTTCCCCTGATTTGTCTGAACAGAGCCCCAGAAAAACCAAGTGTGCTCACTTCCCAGACTCCAAGCCTGACTGACTCTCCCTTCAGGAGACCCAGCTGGGTCCGCTTGCCTGGGGGAACAGGTTAGGCCACTTCTGCTAAGCTAGAGAAGACCCAAGTCCTTCGGGGATTGCTGTGTGGAAACAAACCACAACTACAAAGCTGGGGGAAATCGGGCAGTGTCCTGGGATTGTCAGGGGCCGCCTGCTGCTTGGCTCCTACAACCAAGGTTATCAAAATGCTTAGGAGCAAATCTTTTGGCAAATTTCAGCAATCTCAAAAAGCCTCGGGTCCTCAGCCAGATGCAAAATTGGAATCCCTGAGGGAACCACATAGGTGAACCCACAAGGGATGCAAAGGAACATTCTATGGCCCAATCCCCATTTTCTTGGCTGGAAAGATCCGCAAGAGGGTGTTTTGCACAGGGCAGTTTGCCCAAGCTGACTTTTCTCAGTCCACAGTTGCCATCCAAGATCAGCTCTCCCCAGGGAAGCATTTTCTGCTCTGCCCAGGGCCTCTCTTCTCAGTCCCTACAGGAGGTGGCAGGGACTGAAACACAGCTTTTAAAAGTTCATGAAGGTTGGCTGGGCAAGCACACCGCTCTCAGGCAGAGGCAAAAAGTGAAGCCCATGGAAAGGGGCCCCATCTGGTCTCAGGCCCCTGATCCACGCAAGTAGGAATTCTGAGAACAAGAAGTCTGGACCTTCTGAATGGGTGGGATTTAGTGAGTGTTGTGTAAGTGCTTTGGGGGGGGGTAGGAGTGACTGGAGACTTTTGATCAAAATTTGAAGTATCAATAGGGGACCCCAAAATGTTACAAACCTCATGCACATTTGCCAGGTGGACTAGGGGTGCTGCATGCCTGCGACGCCCATCCAAGTGCCCGGACTGAGCGTGTCTCCTGTCCTGCCACTTCCCGGCACATCCAGGTCCACGCTGAGAGTTTCAGGAGCTGTCTCCCCCCCACCCAAAAGCTTTCCGCCGGGCGGGGTGGGTATTTTGGGGGTCTCCAGCTCCCACAACTACAACCTGGCTTTGGAGGCCCTCGAGCAGAGGCAGGGGCGGCTCCCCAAGACCTCTGGGTTCTTTTTTGGCTCACGAGGGCTCCCCTCAAAGGTTACAAGGAACAGCTGGGCAAACAGGTAGAAAGAGGAACGAAGGGGGTCCTAGAGGACCCTCAGGAAAATGGATGGGGAATAACGGAGAGCTGGGCCGGAGGGATGGGGCGTCCCTAAACCACAGAAGGCGGGGTGGTAGAGGCGACGGGAGACCCCGGTTCCCATCTGCACCGCGGGGTAACTACCTCGTTAGCGCCCCCTCGTTCCAAGACGCCTCATTACAACTCCTAGGGCTCCTTATGCTCTGACGGCCGGCTTCGGGGAACCGAGGCGACGCTCTGCTCTGCGCTCCGCCAGGGCCTGGGGGTTCTGCTAGACCTTCGGGTGACAGGAGACTCAGGCTGGGCCGTAAGGCTAACGGAGTTGGCGCCTGGAGGGAGCCGGGAGGACTGAGACCCCGAGACCCGGACCCAGTCCCCAGCTGGGGGGAAAGCGGGGCCCCAGGGGCCCTCGGCCCGGGGCGCAAGGCTGGGGA